ACTGAATTATTAACAGAATAAATGAACTGGGCAACTTACTCCTTTACCCTTCAAATGTAACTGAAAAATTCATAATTGCTACAGCTTTCATGAGCTGTAGGACTCAATACTAATGTGACAAGTATGTTTTAAATACTAATAACCATAAGGAAAAAACAGTTCACAGAGTTTCTCATTCACACACTGTCACATCTCACCTCCTACAGTACTTCTGCCCCCTTGGGTATTTATTTACCATGTTAGGTGCATCAAATAAAAGCCTAACTCCTCAGATTAAACTCTCTGTTTCTAATCTGACAAAAACTGTTGGGACAGTTTATCTAATTTCCCAGTTGCCTTAAATTATGTAGATAAAATTAGCAGTTTGTAAGAGGACGATGGAGAGGAAACTGACTGACAAGGAAATCCTGATGGATTTTTAAGATTAAGAAAAATCAAATGCCTTTCTGAAGTCTTATACTGGTGAAACAAATCACACAAATAAACCAAAAGAGATACAAAATCAAATGAGAAATGAGAAAAAGATCACATGGTTATTTTTTTGTCCTTAAAGAAGTATGTTTCCCAGTCTGGTTGGGTTTTTTTATCCTTTGAAAGGATAAAGAAATCCTGTGATTTATCCTATGATTTTTACAGCCTGATTGTTTTTGGTACTTAAAAAAAATTAAGTCTAGCAGCCATTTAGCTTAAATTTATCTGAATTTAAACGATCAGAAGAATGAACAATCCAGAAAATACATGGGATTAAAAGGCATTTTAGGAACAAAAATCCTCTGCAAGCAGTTTTACACAGCTAAGATTAAAAAATCATGCTTAGGAACTTTGTCTCAACATCAGCTGAGCCAAAATTTAAGCAGGAACATTTGGGATAATGCTTTTAAGACATGCCAGGCAAGAGAGAACTAATGACTACCTAAGGTGGATCTGGATACTGGGGTTTGTTTAAGAATCAACACGATGGGAGCTTTTGCAACTACTTGATTATATTTCACACTTTCCATCCATATCTTGTTCCTGCATGCATGTTCCTGCAGGGAAGGGGCTGCTGGCCCCAGATGCTGAGCAGAAAGTTGGGTCCATCCCTGCTGCATGGCTGCTCACCTGTCTCGGGCAACACCAGCCAGCGGTTTTGGTGCATCCCCCAGCTTCCATCTCACCCACAGCTCTCTAATCTCTAGGATCTCTCCCATTTTAAGGACTTTTCCTCCAGTCAGGAACTTCACCTTTCTCCCTTTGGGTCTCCCTCCTTAGTGTCAAGACCACTTCCTCCTGGCACCCCAGACAAGCCACTTCCCTTCAGGCCAGATGTTTTCAGTCAGACGCCACAATTCCAGGGAGCAAACAGCAAGCTTCTACTTGAGACCTTGAAGGCTCGAATTTCATCACTACCCTTCACACATACACTCAGCTACCTGGCACTGGCAATATTAATGATTTAAACGATTTTTTTTTTTTGCCTAAAAGACTAGATAATATTAGCCTGATTTCACTTCCAGTGAAGACAACAGGATTAATTTTACTTGTTTCAGGAATTTTCAGTAACAGTATTTTCCAAGAGCTGATTATATATTGCACATAAATGCATTTTTCTGAAGTGGTTCAACTAATCCATTACAGTTGTTTTCCCACTGGATTCAATTATTCATGTGTGAATAAAACTTTTCCAAAAATGTTGCTAGTATAAAAAGCTCCAGAAATGTTCATATGTATTACAAACTTCATGCTCCCTAACAGAATTAAGGAGATAAATGCATTTTCAAGCTTTGCTGGAATTATTGGAAGGAGTCATGGAATAAAACAAATATATGATAATTTTTGTTCGCTGATGGATTACAACCATTTTTATATAACCATTTTCTTTTAAAAAGTAATAATATGCTACTGGGTCAAGGACTAGAAACTAAAATACAGCACCATGGCCATCTTGATTTCTAGTAGTTCAAGCCAGAGGAATAGTTAATCAATGCAAACTCTTAGGCATGTTTGAGTGACTAATTTTTTAGTTGTTTCTCAGTGTGTATAAATTTATCAGCAAGAAGCTAGATGATTTCACTGGTAAAATCTTACAGAGCTTACTATATCTAAGAAAGTGGCAAAACTCTGGTTGTTTATAATCATCAATTTTCAATGGGTTATGTAACTGGGTAATATTTGGATATTTTGATAACAATAGAAAAAGACGCAAAAAATCTAGACTTGTACAAAGAAAAATTCAAACTATTCCACTATGAACAAAGAAAATCCCATTTTTGTAAAATCCTGCCTTCAGGAACTCTAAACAGTACTTAGCATTTCCCTGTGGGGTTTGATTTCAGACTGAAGCAGATAGCTGGCATAGATGATTTCAGCCAGAACTACTAGTCTTGATAAACTTTCAACTGAACTGAAAAACAGTTTTACTTGAAAAATAATGATGTGCTCTTAGCCTTGCTCATAATTTCAAAGCTGAGACTCTGGCAAGTATTAAAACTTTGCCAGCAGAGGCACAGGATTATCTGCAACTTTAAAGGCCATTCTTAAGTAATGTCTGCAGCATATGAAAATCTCTCCTTGATGTAGAAAATTTACTTTTAAGAAAATACTCTTATTGCTTCTTGTCAGTGCTGGCAAGTCGAGAAAATGGCAACAAAACTAAATAAGCTTCCTATGTGATTGATTTCTGGTATCCAGCTTATAAACAGAATTCTCCACAAATACTGCAAACCTAAAGCACTTAAGTCCTGATGATGTTTTCCAAGGAGCTGTTAAAAGTTAAATTATTGTTTCAGCTTTAGATTTAGCCTCCTAAGAGACAAATGATGCTAAAGAGACTTGGTTTGTCTTTTTGGTTGTTTTTAGTATCAGGCAAAGGGACAACAGAGGAAAGGGAGAGGGAGAAGGAGAGGGAGCTGATCCCTCATTTGCAGCTATACTGAGACTCTGATAATGAGAACCCGTGGGAGATACATTTCCCCAGCGAGGACTCAGCGCACAGTGGGTTTTAAGATTAGGTCCCACACATGTGCAAAGCATTTTGCTTGAGGAAAGGACTCAAAATAAAATTACAGAGTTTTTTGCTTATTTTGCTTCTTCTGTGAAAAAGAAAGTTCAAGACAGATTATTATTTTAGGACAGCATATCAGATGTCTTTGACAGTTGCCCTGATTTATTAACCTGCAGCTCTGGGATAAGGGAATCAGACACTCATATCTGGCATCAACAGGAGCCAAGCATCTAATTTCCTTTGGCTCTTCTGGAACTGCAGCACACATTTCTCAACTAACTGAAAGCAGATTCTCTTATTCCATAACGCAGAGAGATTTCTTTTTGCTTTGTACAAATAATCTTTGGAGTTTCATCTTACAACTACATATAAAAATATACTGTTATATGACAATAAGATTAAAACAAGTCCAAATGCACACAGAAACGAGTGATGAAATTAACATCAAGGAATCACTTTTGAAACACTGGCCTACAAGTAACTGGCATGAAAGTTTAACACAGGCATATTACAAGATTTAAGATTTACTTCAGCATGAGAAGAGCAAAACTATATGGAATCGTATAATCTGTGATGAAAATCATAAATATATAAGCAATATATAAATAATATAATAATCTGTGTGGTAAATGTGCTTCTTCTCCCCACATTTATTATTTTCACTGGTACTCAATCCCCCAAATAGAAGAGGCTTCAAAGACAAACTATTTATAAACCAAATAAATCCTATAAAGAGCTATTTTGTTATGACAGAAGAGTTTAGCTCATGAGGCAGAGATAATGTAAAAACATTCTGTGAACTGTCCAAAAGCCCAAACTGTATTTTCTTGCATTGACTGAAAATACAACATTCTCTTTTCCAAGGCTTTCTCTAACAACATTGTTTTTTCTACCACTGTTCCAGATTCCTTTGTAAACATACCTTTTAAGTAAATTAATATAATAAGAAGAACAAAAATGCATTTATTCACTTTCTGTACTAAATTGGCTAATTTGCTTTTAGTCAGACTTCCAGCCTTAGCTGAAAACAAATATTATTATTCAGCACAACCAAGACACACATTCTTCTTTACAAAATCATTAGAACATCATCATGTTCAAAATTATTCCTGTGTTTCTGAGATTCTGCTCATATTTAGAAAGTAAGCTTTTTTATAGCAACTAATAACTACCTAGGACTGCTGCTCTTCCCTCTCTGTTGTGCTTTACAGTTACTGAGATCTCAAAGTACAGGTTTCACTCCATAGGTGTGGCTGAAAGCAGCCTCACACAGACAGTGGTATATAGCAAAAATGAACATGACAGCCACTAATAATCCTGAGACTGCTGCAGAAATAAAAAAGGCACACATACCTACAAAAAGGCAAATAAGCTGTGTTACTGACGAATTCCTCAAAATGGTCACATACTGCACAGAGTTCTTAGCACTGCTTCAACTGTCATGTTTATGAGGAATAAAAATGTGGAGTTCTCTCTAATACATTCAGCCTTCAAAAGCATTATGCTGTTTGACATTCTGTACCCACAAATCTGACCCTCTCCAAAGGCAGTGGGTATTCCAGTATAATACCCACTATCCTTTTGGAAGTCTTTCCAAATTTGGTGTTTGCTTTTTTAAATGGCAGATCCGAGGGACTACAACTTGGCCATGATATTACTATAGAGTTTCCATAGTGGTTTGTTTACCAATGGGTTTGCTCCCCCTTTTTTTTTTTTTTTTGATAAGTAAACTGGAGCAATCAATGACCATAACAGAAATCAATAAAAACAATCAAATATTAAAAATTTAAGCATAACCATGGAAGACAGCTGTTATAACGAAAGGAAGCAAAATTTATAGTAGTACATTGTTGCCAATACAGAAGAGTCATCAGAACTGTGGCTGTACAGCTTTTGATGCCAGCACTTTTGCCAGCAAACTATCAGAAAACAGAGCTATCCAAGTGTCCTCAACACCTTACTTTTTTTTTTTTCATTATACACAAAGGTTATAGGATTAGATTTTCAATTAAATTACCTGTCCCAGTGATCTCCAGTCCAGGCTGGCACTTCCAATGTATACGTGCTGCTTATCAACAATCCAGAACGATGACTGAAGCCGACCTTCATTATATGCTGACATGTTCATATACAACACTTCAGCACCTAGAGATTTAAGGATAAAATAAGAAATGGCATTACTTAATATGAGATAATTTACATTATTAAAAGAGGAAATGACTTCACATTTCACGGCTTCACTTTCCAAAATTAGTGAGAGGCATAATGAAACATACCATTAAGGTTAAAAGCAGCGATAAACATTGCTACTGTCCCAATATTTATTACTTTAATTAACATTTATTTCAGTTGTATGAAGAAATATTTATGCAATGCATGTCCCAAGTATAGGGAACATTCACATGTGTTATAATGTTTAGATAATTTCCTTCCACTTTAGAATCAAATAATAATTTTTTTCCAGCACTGTATGTTCCTAAAAATAGTTCATTTCTAAATTTCTATTCCATAGCACAAACCACATATTGCAGTAATGACCTTTAAAATATGAACACAATTAAAACCCCTGCCTCAAAAGCAGACTCTGCTCTGCTCCTCCTGCCCTGTGCAATGGTTTGAGCAGGTATCTGCAGTGGTTGTGGCATGTAACAGACCCCAACAAGCACAACATGGGTGGAGAATTAAGGAAGTAAGCAAAGGCTTAAATAAATTATGTTGAAACTCTATTAATCCTGCTAATCTGTGACATTCAACCTACCACTCTGAATGGCACAATTTTATTAATGACTATAGGCCACTGAAATCAAAGGAGCTCCTTGTTGGCTCCATTGCCTCACTAGGAATGTCTGAATTGGCCCCATCTGTATATTTGCAGAACTAAATCCAGAATATATTTAATATTGGGTAAGTTTAGGGGATTTCTCACACCATTACTGTTCTTTCAGTGCTCCGGTGTTTGCAAAATTAGGTGATTAATCTGAATTAATCATTGCTGAAGGCATTTTACAATAACCCACTCATCTTCACATTTCAGTCATGACTAACCAGGGAAGTGAAGTGACAGTAAACAGAGCCTGGGGGACAGTGATGGTAGCAGCCACCTCCTATTAAACACTCTTGGGGTCTCCAGTACCACGAACTCCAGTAATGGTTGAATATGACTCACAATTTTAAAAGAATTCCAGGATAGACAGAGAACTAAATGTATATCTTTTCATCAAATTTCCTATTTTTTATCTCCTAAGAGACATTTGACTTGCAATTTTAGGCAACAGCTACCAGTGCTAAATATTTCTTTATTATTATGAAAACAGCAACTTTCCTTGGAAAAATTATTCTAAAAGTTCAGACATCAAGAAAAGAAGAAAAAGCAGGTAAAGGTGCCACTTACCATGATGCAGCAAACATGCAAAATTACATTTTGAGCACATTACAGACTTTGTCTCATTGGTCAATTGCTTTTGGTGCAACCCAGCTACCTTTCCAATTTTTTGTATGTTTCACTCACCCACACTCATCTATGCTTAGAAACAAAGATTCTTCCAATTTCCCTGCAACGTATTTCTGCTAGTTTCAATTCATGCATTAACGAGCAGAACTGTGCTAATTATTGAGAAAATGAGTGTGAAATGGAAAAGAAAACAGAAAACACTATAGCAGCTATTAAATGGTTTAAATTGTTTCCTGGCGAATAAACAAAACAAAAGCAACTGCTATTAGCTACGGATGACCATTCTGTAAGGCACTAAACTTCCAGCTAGTGATCCAAAAACTGTGCTTAAAATCAGGTTTAACAAAGCAGTTTGCCTTGATGATGTTTTCTTTCCATACATCCAATTTGCAGCATTAAAGAGCAGTATGAATTTAACACCCACAACACACCTACACCAAACAGGTTATAAATGAAATGTTAGGATTTGTGCATAGTAAAGATAAAACAATAGGAAGTAACAATAAGCTTCCTACCCATAACTGAGAGTCTAAAAAACACGACAATTTAAAACCATTTTTGAAATATTAGCGACAAACAAAAATGCTGAGTGCCAAAGCTGTAACAGGAGACTATTTAACCAGTAATACTAACATTAAAAATAGCAGACATCATCAGTAACTTAAGACAAAATTCAAAAGTTGTAAACCACCAGAATTTGTTGGCGTGGGTTGTTCAGACATGGGCAGAAGCAGTGGGATGGGACTATTACTCTAAGATATAATCTAGGCTTCAATTACCAAAATAGTGAATACAGCAGTGCAGAAGATACTGCTATCACATATACCAGTAAGATCAAAATCTGGAACCCAATTTCTTCTCCTTTTGGAAACAGCCAACTAGTAAGTGAACAGGTGAGGAAGCAGGATCTCCAAGTTAATTAATAAAAAAGTCATTTGTTGCAAACAGCAGCTGTTGAGCTGGCTATTAATGAGCCCTTACCTTTTGAAGAAAGGAAACGTGTATCAGTATTGATAATTGCCTCTGTTCCAGAAGCCCTTGAGATGCTTTGTTAAAACAGGCTTATCAAGCCTTCAACACGATCCACCATCCCTAGCGTGGTTCAGGTCCCATGAGGAAATTAAATTGGATGGATCAATATGTGAAGCCATAACAGAACTCTCTGTCATTCTGCAGTCTCAATTACACAAAGCTGTGAGTCTACTGAGTTCAACCAGAAGGGCACATTTGTAGGCTTGATTGCTAATAAACATGCCAAATAAATCTAACTGTTTTGTTTCACTGGAGATTAAAATTCAGGATGAGAACTTAGAGAAAACCAGTGCTGTCACTTAAAACTCAAGTGGATTTGTCTGTTCCCTAAAATTGTACATTTTAAGGGCTGGGACAGGTTACAGATTTTCTGCAGTAAAAAAGCCCACAAAAAAAGAGACACTGTAGGGATCAAAGCATGTTGTAAGTAACAGACATTTATCTGAGTACTTTGTCTTCTGGGTGGGGAATTTTTTCACACTGTATAAGGTAGATGACTGATGCAGTTGGGATGCATAGAGGGGACCCTGCCATTGAGAGCCTGGACCTTCTGCATGTGATGTGAACATAGCCCCTGGAAGTGCCAGACAGCAACTTAGCCTCTAGCTTTGTCTCATAAGAGAAGAAGAACACAGAGAGTATCAGTAATATTGCAAGAAAGATTGACTTTTCATCCACTAAAAAAAATAAAAAAAATCCAATTCCCAAAGTAATCCCAAAGAAGACGGATGGCCAAGCAAATGTCATTTACAATTTCTAGCCTTGCAGCCTCCTGTTTGGTCTAGCTCCCTGCTCTCTGATACTTCACTAACAATGTCTGAAAGCTACAGGGCAAGCTTGACTTCAAGAATAGGAACTTGAAGAGAATTGAGATTATTCAGCCCGGAGAGAACGCTTCATGGTGACCTAACTGTGGCCTTCCAGTGCCTGAAGGGAGCCTACAAGAGGATGGAGATGGACTTTTTCCAAGGGCATGTTGGAAAGCACAGAGGACAAAGGGGAATGAATTCAAACTGAAAGAGGGTAAGTTTAAATTAGATATTAGGAGGAAACTCCTTACTGTGAGGGTGGTGGGGCAGTGGAACAGGTTGCTTAGAGAAGTTGTGGATGTGCTGTCCCTGGAAGTGCTCAACACCACATTTAATGGGGCTCTAAGCAACCTGGTCTACTGGAAGCTCTCCCTGCCCATGGCAGTAGGGCTGGAACTAGGTGACCTTTAAGGTCCCTTTCTACCCAAGCCATTTAATGATTTTATGAACCTAAAGCTAGACATCTTTTACAGATTTGAGGCAAAGCACTAAACTCTAAGCAGGACCCTTTGATCAAGAGCTCATCACACTATCATGAAAACCTGTGTCAGACGCAATCCTGGCGCAGCTGTGTTGTGGCTGTGGATTTTCCTGCTGCTCAAGCAATGTCACCGGACAGCTACACAAACTGGGAGATTCTTCTCTGGGGGAGAGACGGCAGGAGGTCAGAACTCACAAGTCAGGGCTGCCACTTGGCCTCCACATCAAGTTTATGCAATAGTCTGGAGAAGGTGCACCTTCTTTTGAAGCCTTCACTTTCTTCAGGCCTTGGATCCAACACCTGTGAGCAGCTTAGGATATTGTGCTTGTACTGAGGCAACATCATTATGCCAAATCCCCTCACTGGTGGAGGTAGTAAATAATTTTTGTAAGGAAGACCCAGAAAGAGCAACTATTTAGGCTGCTATTATCACAGCTGCCTTGAAAGCAAACATGCAAATTCTGCTTGCCACAGTTTTCAGCAGTACCACTTACAAGCTAAACTCACTCGAGTTAGCAAACATAACGCCCAAGAAACAGAAGCTGCATTTGCTTGTACCATGCCTAAAACTGGTCTTCTGTCTTCACAACTTTCTTACTTTAACTATAGTGTTTTGGAAATCAGAGAGAAAGAAAAATAAGGGGGAGAACTTTAGGAGTAAAAGGAGAGCCAGAGTTATCTGGTAAGTCTGTATAGATATAAATGCCTCTTTGTCTATATTTTACAATATATGCTTTAACTTCATTTATTAGCTTTTGCTAATAACCTTTAGCACAAAGTACCCCCATGAATAAATACAATTTTTATTCTACTGAGACAAAGTTCAGAGTTTTCAATACAATTGGTCACAAGTGATGGAGTAGCTGTCTCATTTTGGGTAGACACAAGTAATCCAGGTGGAGGATCATCTCCCCAGCAATTTTCCCAACCGATTGTAAAAAGTATGGACTTCTTCCAGAAGCCCCATTAGTGTGACCTGCCATCACTCAGAAGAGGACAAGTACAAAAGCAGAAGAATGCACAAGTTGAAAACAAAGTTATTTTTACTAAGTCTCTGAATGATTAAAAGACAAACTAGACTATTTACTATTTCTGTGCTCTTTACGGAATATTGGATTTGAAATTCAATTTAAAAGTCTGCCTAGCCCAGAAAGATTAATGATTCAGATTTATTTTAAAAGAGAACACTCAAGGACTTTTAGGGAAATCTCTGATGGTAATACCTTAACTTTGAATCAGCTGTTTTGTTTACATTGTCCTCTGCTTCTCTCTCTCTAACACACATCCCCCTGTCCTTTTTAAAACCACCAGGACTGAATCCTGTCACTCTAAGATTATGTGCTATTCATCAATCTAAAGACAGAGTAATTTA